AAGACTGCTATTCTATAACATTTTCCATTGTTTGTGTAAAGAACTATTCTGTCAATGTATTTGTATTATTTTGTGAGTATAAACCTTGTTTTGCTTCAATTCGAAGAGATATCCGAATACGTCCATCTTTTATTCTAAGTAAAATGTCATTTCCGAAAAATAGAAGCGTAAGTGTTTCAAAAGGTTTAATGGCGGTGGCAGATGTGAAGTTAAATTCACCAACTCAAACAAACAGTCAAAGTGTTATTGTCAATGTCAAAGACAGAGATGTGAAGTGGGGAAACCATACGAAGACGAAGATGGTATAACAATTGTTCCTGTAAAAGAACCAACATATCCTGAAGTTAACAGAGACTTAAGTTCTGTTGCAGATATTCGAAACGACTACCAACAACTGAAAGACAAACTTCAAACTCAGGAGAAGATTTGTCAAGCTTTAAGTATAATGTTAAACTTGGTCGAACACAACCCTGTAAAAGTGAACTCATATGTCATTGCACCTCATGAAGTTTTGAAAGAACTATTGAAACTTTTGACAGAGGCAGACGATATAAACATCAAAGAAATAGAACCCGACATTAGTTGCTGTGGTGTTTCATATAATGCCATTGACAAGATATACGTTATGAAAGGAGGTGAAACGTTGAACTTAAATATAGTTTCCCAGACGTTATAAAAATATTTGACGACCACAACATTTCATTAAAATTTATTTGCTAAGTAAATGGCAGAAGACATAATGGTTTATACTATTACGACTAAAAACCCTGAGTCATATAATTCTGTATAACAACAAATTACAAAGTCCTCAAGGACGATATTGTAAACTAACCTTAAACACAATGACGACTAAAGCCTGTTTTGCTCTTTTGACACCAGAAGACTTTATTGTTGTGAATGGTAAAAAATACTCCTTTGAAGATACTTACTCAGATATACCACCAACAGGTTTGTTGACTTATTTAATACTTTAAGTACGGGTGTAACATGTGCTGCAACTAGAGCAGGTTTCATTATGTTTGGATGTCCGACTGAGTTTACTATAAACGATATGAGCTATAATACAAAACTTATTTCTGGTTTTTACTACCAACAGTTTCCTATAACAGGAAAAGGTGTCATACAAGGAATGTCTATTCCATTGACATTAAGCACACCAATCTTATATATTGTTTCAAACTTAGGTTCAAAGTGTTATTCGAATGTTGACAGAAACTATTATGACCAAAAGATACTTATGCGTATAAACAATACTTTCTCTGCTGGTTTGCCTATTGTTCATTCGAATGCAGAATTTTCAACCTTAGTGAACTCAAACACTTTGGCAAGTATAACGTTGACATTAGTTGACGCAAACTTTGTTCCTGTAAAACTTTTATGTCCTATGTATTTGTCAATGACGGCAGAAAGTTTCGAATTGGAAGATGCAACTGGTGAAAGTATTGTATTACAAGAACAACTTCAACAACAAATAGCTCAAGAACAACAAATGCAACAAATGGAACAACAAAGTCAAGAATAAAAAAATAATATTTTTTTTTATTTTTATAAAAATGTACAGAATAGATGTTTCAGATTTTTATGACTTCCAAGCATTCAGAAATATGTGTCCATTTAGAGACTATAACAAATCAGTCGAGAATTTGAAACGTTTAGTCATTTATGTCGACTCTGCCCCAGAATGTTATGTCATGAAAGAATGGGATGTTGTCTTTAACAAACCTAAAGCGACAATAGTTTCAGAACAAGAATGTAGACAGAAACTTAAGAAAATAAAAGTCGTACAAGTTGGCATGAAGATGTTAGATGCTTGGGATATCTTATTGTCAAAACTTGAAGATTTTTCAGTTCGTGGTATAAAGTTTTATACACCATCTCCAAACTTCTATTCTATCTTCACTGGATATAAATACGAACAAGTAGAATGGAAAGAAAATATTATAGAAGCTTGGTTAGACCATGTCAAAGAAATTATATGCAATGGAAACGAAAAGGTTTATGAGTATATCTTATGTTGGTTTGCAAACATCTTACAACATCCAAGTGCTAAAAATGAAACTGCTCTCATTATAATTGGAAAACAAGGAACTGGTAAGAATACTTTCTTTACAGATATTTTGTGCAAACTGTTAGAAGGTTATTCGAACCCTAATATGACAAACTTAGAAAACATCTGTGCAAGTTTAACTCCTCAATAGAGAATATGAAATTATAGTTTGCAATGAACTTCAAAGTATAGATACAACAAAAGTTTTAAACTCAGATGCTTTGAAGAGTCTTATAACAGATAAAGTTGGAGTTGTTGAAAGAAAATATAAAGACCAAAGAGTTTGTGAAAATGTTGCAAACTTCATTATGGTTTCAAACAATGTTGTTCCGATGAAGTTAGAAAGTTCTGACAGAAGATATGTAGTTGTCAGAACGTCAGATTCTCATATGCAAGATACAGAATATTTGACGACTTAGCAGAAACTTTGACATCTGACTTTTACAACCACTTGTTCTCATATTTTATGACATTAGATATTTCTAAGTTCAATCCAAGACAAATTCCACATACCGAAGAGAGACAAACATTGTTAGAAGCAAACAAGAGTGTATATGAACTGTTCATAGATGAAACTGACTTTGTGTCATTAGATGAAAGGTCATTGTACGATTCGTATAAACAATATTGTCAAGAATATGGTTATATGACAGCGTCTAAACGTACATTCTTGGCAAATGTCAAAAGTCTTTTAGATGTTCAGAATGGTGTATATACAAAGAAAATTTTTTCTGAGTAAATTTAAAACAAAAATATTTTTTATCCGATAGAAAAGATGGCAAAATTCATCTCAGTAAACAAGTACATGTCAGGACTTAAAGAAGAACTAGACCCATTCACATATTTGAATGTTTACTTCTACCATTTTGAAAAGTCTTCATTCAGCAAAGTTTGGAACATCGAACCAGTTAAGTTTGCTGTCGTGACTAAAAATGGTGCGAAATTTGAAGACTTATACATAGAAGGTTTGTTAGCAGTCAAAGAAAGTTTTGACAGAAGGTTCTCAAACCTTAAAGAAGGCAAAGCATACAAACTTGTTATACCTTATGAACCAAAGAAAGCAGACGACTATGAATATTATGAGTCTAAGATAGTTGAAGTTCAAGGTAAATTGGGTAAAAAGATTTTAGAGTCTAAGCCAGTGTTTACTCCTAAAGAGGAAGAGAACATTGACATTGACCCAGAAATGTTCTAAAAATAAAATTTTATTTTTACATGTCAAATTTCTTTTTCTCTGGAACTGGTTCAGGTTCTTTCTTCTCTTCTACTTTTTTCTCTTTCTTTTCTCTCTTCTTCTTTTCTGGTGGAGTTATGTCAAATTTGGCGCAACTATATTTATGTAAAAGTTCTTTGTCCTTTAATAGCTCTTCTATTCTGTTTTCTATTTCATCTTCAAGAACAGCGCATGTGTCTTCTTTGCATTCTAAGAACTTTTGTTGGACTTCATCTTTCCAATCGGCGTCATCTCTGTCAACAAGTCTGTCATTGACAAATTTTAAGACTTCTCTGCTTAATGTTTTATGGTTCTTGTCATATTCCCAGAAACAGAACTTTAGAACAAATTCACCTTTCTTGTTTACACTATGTAAGATTTTATGGTCGACAGATGTTTTGCTGTCGAAAAGCTTGTCTCGAATATAGATAGCGAAATCGCTAGACATTTTCTAAAAGATAAAAATTTTAATTTTTCTAAAAATATGTTAGAAAAAAAGTTTGCTGACATTGACAAAAAATTGAGAATGTTTTAAACAAGAACAAGAGGAAGTTAGAAAATGCTCAGATAAAACCTATACATGACAAGTTCTTATTTGCTCAGAATGGTATAACAGGTCTAATTGCACCACCTGGGTCGGGTAAGACTTTCACTTATCTTAAAATGGCTGCACAACAACAAGAACTAGATGAGAAGAACCCATTCTATGAGTTAGTAGTCATTTGTTCGACTTCTGGTCAATTTGACCAAACCGTCAATTCGTTCAAAGATATTATAAAGAAGTCTAAGTTAGTATGTATAAAAGACTCTGAGTTGTTAGATTGGATAAAGAAGTACCAAAGAAGAGTTTTGAAGTATAATGCTATAAATGAGTATGTCAATTCGAAGTTTAAAGACCCAAATGAGGAAATGCAGAGAATATTAGAGAAGAAACACTTCAGAAACAAACAGAAAGAGATAGAATACATTTCGAAGAAATTGCAATCTTACGATTGGAAGACATACCCTCATAGATGTCTTCTTATCTTAGATGATTTCGCCTCTCATCCTTTGTTAAAGAACAGAGAACAAGATATGTGTCGAATTCTTAAGAAGCTCAGACACTTTAACATCTCAGTCGTAATATGTGTACAGACAGCAAAGAGTTTAAGTAAGGATGTTAAAAGAATACTTACTGACATAATACTTTTCCCCGGATTGTCCGAAGACGATTTCATGGAACTTATGAAAGAGTCCATGGCAGGTAAGTTTGACAGATATGAACTCTGGGAGAAGTATAAAGTCATACAAGACCCTCATACTTCTTTCAGAATTCATATCTACGCAAACAAAGTTCAAATTGTAAAAAGTCAAGCTTGAAAAATCTAAGTGTTTAGTCTTAGTAAGTAAGTCTGTTGTGGTTCTGGGTCTGTCGGTTCTTCTGGCTTTGGAAGGCATTCAGGAAGAGGAACGTCAGTCATCCGTTTGTGTCCTGTCGGAAGGAAAAATTTTTCCTGTTGGAAGGAAAAACTTTTCCTGTCGGAAGGAAAAACTTTTTCTGTCGGAAGGAAAAACTTTTTCTGAAGTTCGACCAAAAAGTTCTCAATTTTCGAAAATTTGAATGGTTTACGGACGGACAACTGGAAAAATTTTTCCTGTCGGATGGAAGGACTCGGAATGCCAGAAGGATTTGACGAGGCAATTTACCTAATTGAGCTACTTGAGCCATCTGAAGTCAAGCTTGAAAAATAAAGAGTGCATTTACCCTACTTGTTTGAAGTTGTCAAAATACTCTGTTATTTTTTCCTTTAACAATGGCAAATCTTCTTTGAAGGTAAGTATTGTACAACCTTTCATATCATAGTGTGTTTGAGGTAACGTATCTTGAACTATTTGTTTCACATCTTCATTTGGAGTCATTGAAATCGGTAAGTTTTCGCGATAGAACCAATTTCTGTCAGATTTGTAAATCTTAGCAAGGTCGTAAAAGCTTTTGTTGTTTCTTCTGACTAAATGCAACATAACCATATCTCTGTCTTCTTCTTTCTCCAACTCTTCAGTATAAATCATATACTTATAGTTCTTTTCCTTTCCTTTTGGTACCGAACGTGGTATTCTTTTCTGAATGCTTTTGTCTTTTGCTTCAATGACTTCATCTTTTGCTTCAAGCTTGTTCTCTAGCTCTTCACGTTCTTGTCTATGAATTTCGTCAAGAAGTCTGTAAATATACCAAGCATAACGAGGCGAAGCCCACATTGCAACAGCATTTACAAGAAGTCTATGTACATACCAACCTCTCAAACCATTTGGCAAATTTTTACGATTTTCATACGGAATCTCTTCTCTCGGTTTTCCGAGGGAAGCAAGCATATGAGGAAATTCTTCTAAAAGTTCAGGTGTGCTTTGGTTTTTGAACCAATCGTCTGTATGTTTGGTATCTGGAGCAAAACATGCTGTCAAAATACTTTGCATCTGGTACATATCGTCTTTGACCGAACGAATGAGACGGAGTTGTTTGTTAAACTGAACCCACTCATATTCTTCATTTATAGCTTCATGGACTATAACTGTTGTTGTGTTCTCTGTTGTTGACATATCTGTCTTTACATACAAAATAAAAAAATAAATAAAAATAAAACTAACTTTATTTTTTCTGTCTTAAGGAAATTCATGATTTTTGTTGCTGAATTCAGCAAAAATAATGTTTAGGGTAGAAGGTTAGATCTAACCTGTTTTCTAACATGTTTTCTAACCTCTTGAATTTTCATGATTTCATCGTAAATGTTTTGTCAAACATGAACGTAAATGTTTTGTCAAGACTTCTTCGTACATGTTTTGTCATGATTTCTTCGTACATGTTTTGTCAAAACTTCTTCGTAATGAGCGTAAATCAGACAAAAATAATGTTTAGGGTAGAAGGTTAGATCTAACCTGTTTTCTAACCTGTTTTCTAACCTCTTGAATTTTCATGATTTCATCGTAAATGTTTTGTCAAACATGAACGTAAATGTTTTGTCAAGACTTCTTCGTACATGTTTTGTCAAGACTTCTTCGTACATGTTTTGTCAAGACTTCTTCGTAATGAGCGTAAATCAGACAAAAATAATGTTTAGGGTAGAAGGTTAGATCTAACCTGTTTTCTAACCTGTTTTCTAACCTCTTGAATTTTCATGATTTCATCGTAAATGTTTTGTCAAGACTTCTTCGTACATGTTTTGTCAAGACTTCTTCGTATATGTTTTGTCAAACATGAACGTAAATGTTTTGTCAAGACTTCTTCGTAATGAGCGTAAATCAGACAAAAATAATGTTTAGGGTAGAAGGTTAGATCTAACCTGTTTTCTAACCTCTTGAATTTTCATGATTTCATCGTAAATGTTTTGTCAAGACTTCTTCGTATATGTTTTGTCAAACATGAACGTAAATGTTTTGTCAAGACTTCTTCGTAATGAGCGTAAATCAGACAAAAATAATGTTTAGGGTAGAAGGTTAGATCTAACCTGTTTTCTAACCTCTTGAATTTTCATGATTTCATCGTAAATGTTTTGTCAAGACTTCTTCGTATATGTTTTGTCAAACATGAACGTAAATGTTTTGTCAAGACTTCTTCGTAATGAGCGTAAATCAGACAAAAATAATGTTTAGGGTAGAAGGTTAGATCTAACCTGTTTTCTAACCTCTTGAATTTTCATGATTTCATCGTAAATGTTTTGTCAAACATGAACGTAAATGTTTTGTCAAACATGAACGTAAATGTTTTGTCAAGACTTCTTCATCGTAATGAGCGTAAATCAGACAAAAATAATGTTTAGGGTAGAAGGTTAGATCTAACCTGTTTTCTAACCTGTTTTCTACCCCAGTTATTTTATAAGCGTTTTACATGGTAAACGTTATTTTTTAAATTTTGTGAAAACTCAACGGTTTGACACGTGCCATATGTCATTTTTTGACGAAGTGAACATTAACACTTCGTCAAAAAAATCCCTGAAATCATATCTTTTATACAAAAAAATGAAAAAAATGACACTTTTTCATTAGATAACTGTTATTTTTTGACGAAGTGAACATTAACACTTCGTCAAAAAAATCCCTGAAATCATATCTAACATACAAAAAAATGAAGAATAAATGAAATAAAACTAACTTTATTTTCTGACTTTCACAAAAGACCAAAAATAAACGCTTTATATGTATTTTTCAGCAACTTCGTCAAATAATTTTATAGCTTTATCTATCTCATCTACTTCAAACGTTTCTTTACCTTTTATGGGAGCACCATACATTTTCTCAAACTTTTCAAGTAGTTCTGTTTCAGCAGCTCTCATATCATTAACAAACACAACCTTGACTCTATTGACTGTAGAGTCATATCTTAGAGTTATATTATATGTCCTTCCTATCTTATATCTCTTTGTATTGAAGTCCTTCGGTTTCTGAACGATGTAAAGTAAGCCTTCACTGCAACGTTCCGTATCGAATGAACCATATGTTATGAAGTTATATCCAACAACTGGGTCTAACCATAACAAAACTATTGGTATAAGACTTTTGTCGATGAGATATGCTGCAGTTCCATAGAATCTTACCGATATCATAAGCTCAGGATTTCTTGTCAAAATTTTCTGAGTAGAAGCAATTCTAACCCAGTCCTTCGGTCTCTTTCCAGATGGAGATATAATGTCTGACAAAGAATATTTGTTGTATTTCTTTGAGTATCTTACGTTTAAATCACCAATTCTAACCACTTTGGTGTCATTGTCTATCTTTCCAACTGTTTCAAACTCAATGTTTGTCATTTCTTTCTTTAAGTCTGCATAGTCGTTTCTCATACGTTCTATCTCTTTGACTGAATAGTTATATTTCCTAATTGCTGCTTTACATTTAGAACATTGCGGGTTCATTTTTGCGTTATACATTGAAATAAAACCAGCTAGAACAACTAAGGCGCCAATGGTTTTCTTTAACTCAAAAGTTGCTGGTTTTATCTGTTTATTCCATACTTTACCTCTTCTATCTTCATCTCTTATCTGCCATACACATTCTGCAACTAATGAAACAAAGTTGTCGTAGGTCTTAAATTCTTCAGATTTATATATGTCAGAAACATTCTTATAAACCATGTCGCAATCTTTGTCCATAACTTTATGGTTGCAATGAAAACCAAGGAATTCATAATTTACTTTACGTATGAATTTCTTAATTTCTACTGAGTCAGTTGCTTTGACTTCAATTTCGTCGAATTCAGGAATAGTGAGTTTTTGTTGTTGGATTTCAGGCAATTTGGGTAAATGGTCAATAATGTCCTGCATGTCATAAAGATACTGTTCATTTGTTTCATCCTGTGCGGTACAGTCTAAATTACTTGTTAAAAGTTCTTGCTTTATTCTTTGTATTTCTGTTTCGAAAGTAAATGAAGAAGGAATGAAGCTTTTCATTTCTACTAACATTGACGTAGGATTCATGACTAACGAGTTAGGTGCTGTTGTTGTTTGAACTGTTGTTGTGCCGATTGTTGAAATCATATCTTTTATACAAAATAAAAAAAATAAATAAAATAAAACTAACTTTATTTTTTATTTCGGGAAAATTCAAGAGGGTAGAAAAGAGGTTAGAAAACAGGTTAGATCTAACCTTCTACCCTAAACATTATTTTTTGGTGTAAATTTCCTAAACTGACTGACTGACGGCACAAAGTGGCATAACGAAAACATTAATATATAAAATTCATGAAAATTCAAGAGGGTAGAAAAGAGGTTAGAAAACAGGTTAGATCTAACCTTCTACCCTAAACATTATTTTTACTGAATTCAGCAACAAAATGAACGAGGTCAGGATGTATGTAAATACATTTGAATTCATTCATAACACCCTTTGTAAGCTCATAAAATGCTTGTTTTGAGGTCGAGCCACTTTTGGCTCCACCGTATTCTTTCAACCAAAACTCAAGAATTTCCCGCATGAATTTTGTATAAAAAGCAACCGTCTGAATTCCGGCGGTTGCTATATTCTTCACAAAATGCCTTATAATACTCTTCCCAGGACGTATTTTCCAACAACTTTCTAAAGTCTTTCCTAAACTGACTGACTGACTGACTGACTGACGGCACAAAGTGGCATAACGAAAACATTAATATATAAAATTCATGAAAATTCATGAGGGTGAGAAAAGAGGTTAGAAAACAGGTTAGATCTAACCTTCTACCCTAAACATTCTCGTCAAATACAAAAAAATGAAAAAATGACACTTTTTCATTAGATAACTGTTATTTTTTGACGAAGTGAACATTAACACTTCGTCAAAAAAATCCCTGAAATCATATCTTTTATACAAAAAAATACAAAAAATGACACTTTTTCATTAGATAACTGTTATTTTTTGACGAAGTGAAGGTTAACACTTCGTCAAAAAAATCCCTGAAATCATATCTTTTATACAAAAAAATACAAAAAATGACACTTTTTCATTAGATAACTGTTATTTTTTGACGAAGTGAAGGTTAACACTTCGTCAAAAAAATCCCTGAAATCATATCTTTTATACAAAAAAATACAAAATAAAACTAACTTTATTTTTTCTATCTTAAGGAAATTCATGAAAATTCATGAGGTTAGAAAACGTGTTAGATCTAACATGCTAACATAAACATTATTTTTCAATACTTTTTCAGCACTTTTCCGTAGTTATATATGAAAGACAATTCGAGATAAAAGTCATAGTACAATGGAATAATATGTTGCACACCATTTGTTGTGAACCAAACTTGAAAGTCAGAGAAACTGTTACTAGGTGGTTCGTAGAATTTAGAAGCAAAGTCATAAAAGTCCTTACCAATACATAGAAAACTATTGTTGCTTGAACTGAAAATTGCATGACACATAACATTTTGAGGGTCAAACACGTTTCTATAAACCATCAAATCTGCTGGTGGAAGTATAAATTTAAATGGACCATCTGGTGGTAATGGTTCGTTCTGGTTTAGTAACCGAAGAAATTGTGCCAAGAACGTTTGTCTACTTTCCAAAATAAAAACTCTGTATCTCTTGGAGGGTTAATTTCAATCTTTTGAAATGAAACGGTGGAGTTCATCTTGTCATATTCTAGTTTCAGATAGTATGTTCCATTTAGTAAAGAGTCGTATTTTTCTTGAAATTCCCAATAATATTTGTTCATTTGAGTTTGAAAGTCATTTAGAGTTTTCTCAAGACTTTCGTCTGAACGAACTGTAAAGATTCTCATTTCGTCAAATTTGTCTATTAGACCATCAGAACCTTTATACTGCCCATGAAAATATACTGCGAACATAAATGCGTTAGTTCTATTTGAAAACAAAACTCTTCTAAATCCTATTGCCTTTGCATCTGAAGGACTTTGAAGCCAACGAATTGGATAGTCAAACCTGTATGCTCGGGATGAAATTTCTTCATCTGAAATAGTCCTACCAGCATTTGTAAAGATATAGTCTAACGGTTTTGTATCTGCTACTTTTGTTCTTTGTTTTTCAACCTGAAGCATTTAATATATGTAAGAATATATTGTTTTAAAATGGTATGCCATTTCATATTTCTCATCTAACAAACAAGTTTCCTTCAACTTGAGGTTCACTAACAAACTCAGCGTACATTTCAAATAAAATTAAAAATGTCACTTTTTAAAAAATAAATTTTTTATTTCATGCAATGTTTTATTTCTGTGCCGTCTTCAAGTATGCCCCAATATTTCCTTTTCGATATTACATGAACTTCGGAAAATACCTTATCTAGCTTAAAACAGCCCATCTTCTCACCGACTAAACCCATTTCAATGAGTTTGTTGTATCCTTCTTCGTTCGTCATGAGTGCGTCAATGTTCTCATAGTAAACCTTCACTTTGGATTTGACTTCGGAGAAGAATTTGTTGTAGTTGTCAAGGACTGCTTTTGCGAACTGAGGGTAAGACCAATGTTCGACAATAGGTTTTAATGTGGTTACTAAGCCACTTTGACCTTGAGTGAATTCGTACTTCAAAACAAAAGGAGAAAACCTTTCAACAAAGTTGTCGACCTTCTCATAATGTTTACTCTTCATCTCTTGAGGTTTCTTAATGGAATATCCCCATGTCGAATTCATAAGCAATTTGAGTGTCATTGCAAGTTTGGGGTTTGAAGCTTTCCTAATATCATACAGTTGTTGTATGACTTTTCCAACTGTATAGTTCCTTCCCGGGAACTCACCATCTTCGTTTGGAATTCCAGTCGGAATATATTGGACAAACCTCATGTATGCAGCGTTAAGGTCGACATAGTATATCTTTTCGTTTGAGTCGAACTTGTCGCAACCAATTGGTCCAGTTTGTGGAAATTCAAGTGAGTCTCTTATCTTCTGAGAAACTTCTCCTGTTATCTCATAAACATCGTCGAAGCAACCTGTTTCATATAAAACCTTCTGACCTAACTCAGATGCTCTCCAATACAATTTGACGTCAATTGGATGTCTCAATGGAAGTTTGTTTATAGCATCTTGAAGTTCTTGCAACCTCATTGGAAGTTCTTCTGGTTCAGGTTGGTATCCGAACAATCCAACTCCTTGTGGAATTGTGTACTTCTTTTGTACTAGAACTTTGTCTGGAACAACTTTTGGTCTTGCTAACAGAGTATGGTTATCTTGGGTACGGCGGCACTGCGTTCCACCTTAACCAATATAACCTTAAATATTTACAAAACCAGTAACGTATATTTTACAACACAAAACGACAACACTCACTTAACCTTAAATATTTACAAAGCCGCCAACCACTTCATCTCACCAACATTTTCGCTAACGACTTCACTAATGAAAAAATAAACGTTCTCACTAACGTTCCCACTAATGTTCTCATTTACAAAAGTATTGCAGCGCTTCCCATTGCTGTGCTTCACATAACAGCTCATAATCTTCTGACTCACTTTCTTCTTCATATAGGTCAAAATCACTGTCATAGTTTATACCTGTAAGTTTTGACAAAGCTAATGAAACACGTTTACCGTTTGTATCTATTGCTTTTATATATCTCCATTATTTTGTTGTCATAAACGCTCAAACTAACTTTACCCTTTCTCCCTCGTATCTGATAGAATGTATTTTCACGAGGAACGAAGAACAAATTCTTGAACTCATGACCGTTGTAGTTTGTTATCTCAATAGTTTTCGTCATTTACATCCAAATAAAATAAAAATAAAATAAAAATAAACTTAAAAATTAATGATATCACCACCCTCACACGTATGAAAACATAGCACAAAAATAAATTTAGGTGAAGTGGTGAGATCTCACCTCTTTTTTCACCTCTTTTCACCCTTGAATTCATTGCTTTATAACTCTCTTCCTTTCTCCAACTCTTCTAGCTTCTTCTTAAGTTCAGCAATGTTGTCCTCATGAAGTTTAATCTTTCTCAAAATTCCTTCTTTATCTAATGGTTGCTTTATCTTTCTAAACTGAACTCTACCATCCTTCATAGTATGAATGTAAAAACCTTCTGGAATAGTTCCTGATTTAATGTATTCTACCAAAAACTTTTGTTTCATTGCTTCAGTGACTTTATTTGTCATTTCAATCAAATAAAAATTTTAATATTAAATAAAAATAACGTTATTTTTTCAGTAAGGAAACGCAGGAGTTTTACGATTTATTTGAGGAGTAGGTTCTGGTTTAAATGTTGGAGTCGGTTTAGGAGTTGACTTTTGAACAGGAGTTTGTACTTCCATAGGTTCAGGAGTCATTGAAGGTGTTGTTTGTGAAGGCGTTGGTTTTGGCGAAGGTGTTGGAGTTTGTTTAACTTCAGCTACTTCAGTATTATTTACAACATTTGCTTTATTTCTTTTCAACATCATTACTGCTCCTGCTGTAGCTAGCAAACCTAGTGGGAGACCATATCTTATATAAGGACTTGACCAAATGCTATTTTTGACAGGAGCTGGTGGAACACCTAACCTTGGTGAGACTGCTCTTTGCCATTGTGCAGCTCGTAAGAAATATTCAATAGGTGCTCCATAATCGTTTGGTAAAGTTTGTTTCATAGATGGTGAAGGTTCACGAGAGCTTGATGAAGAACTCATTTATAAGCTTTAAAAATAAACGTTCATCCTTTATTCCTCACTGTCGTCCGTGCTAAGTTATAGTCGTCTAATCTTATTATTGGGATCCATTAGCACGCACCTGAATGGCAAAGCAACAATCCCTCATAAATCCAATAAGTGGCTTTGGTACATTTTCAGTTGCTAGTTCAATAGGTCCTTTAACAGACAATTTGTATGTTATTGGAGCAGTAGATGTTTGACCTTGCTGGAAGCAAAAGTCCACTTCTGTTGGAAAACCACATAAGAAATGTGTGTTGTCATAGCTATCCCATTTATGTTCCACACTACCATCATCCACCAATGACCTCATAACATCTTCATTAAATCCTATCATATCATTGTTTGTATTGCAAGCGTTCGCAACCATTTCATAAAATACAGGTCCATATGATTTTTCAGGTTCTGCAGGCATATTTCCATAAGCTCCCATGGAAAGCTGAAGATATTTAAACTTAGGGTTCTCAAAATTAACATAATAGTTGTCTTTCTTTCTAAATAGTGCCCAAATACTTTTAACATTAATAGGCGTATAAGCTGCTGTAAATGTTGCACTTGAACTATCTGTATTCTTTGAGAATGAACCGTCCATAGGAATCCAATCCATAACTTTAACAGGAAAACATAAAGCCTCGTTTGTATAATGTTCTACAAGTTCTGTATAAATGTTAGGGTCTAAAGAGAATGACTTTGGATGAATGAAACATTCATTAAAATCCATCTTTGTTCGAAATAGTTGCTGGGTTACAGTTGTAATAGTAACTGTTCCACTAGCTTCTACTGCCTTCGTTATCATAGTGAATGGTTCATTCCATGGAACAAATTTATTTGTCGGTGGATTTGAATCTGAAGCAAATGCAACTTTAAGAGTTGGATTGAAAGCAATGATATCATTTACAGATATAGATGTGCATTGTAAGGCGTCGCTACTGAACTTTACTTTAAGCTGAATGTTTCCTGCAAAAGCTGGAATAAATCGAATAGCTTCTAATGGAAGGAATCTTCTAACAGGAATTCTTAAACGAAGCTTAAAATCAAATGATTTTCCTGCTGTAATTGGACCACTAACAATTTGTCCTGTTCTGCATGTTCCCGAATGACTCCATACATCTTCATGTCGAGTCTTTGAGAAAACATCTACTTTCTTTATTTGTTCGGTAGTTTGTGAGTTTGAAGTTATATATGCTTCTTCTCTTGCGTTGTCTTGAGAATATACGATACGACCATTTGCAAGGATTTGATATCCAGCAACTGCATAGAAAGCGTCATCGAAACCAATCCAAAATCCTGGTGGGTTTGTTTTATTGGAACCTGAACCAATTTCTTTATCTACAATAAATTGACCTTCCATTTTATACGTAATGAATGTATTGTAAAGGTCCAACATATTTTCACCAGGAGGTGAGAGATTGAATGTTACCCATGTGTTATCTTTAGCAGTTCCAGGTTGTGATGGAATCTTTGCGTCAGAATATTTTCTATTAGTGTCACCAATTTGAACTGCATTGTCTATGATATCGAAATATGAGCGAATCTGATGAATATGCTCTGCTGGAGTAAATTCGTTTAACTGTTCGTTCTGCATGTATTTACTTCAGATAAAAATATCTATTTACTTCATTATTCTCACTCTTCTTCTTGGCATTCGTGGTGGAAGTTGTTTCTTGACATTTTCAATGAACTGTACATTCTCTTTTGTCTCAACTTCTTTCACTGGTGGGTCAGGGTTCTTTGACTCGGTTTGTTTTTCAATGAAATTCACGAACTTTGCAATAAGCTCTTGGTTCGTTATTGAAAGTACATCTGGCTTCTTTTCTTCTGTTCTATTGACTTTTCAGTTTGAACAGAAGGTTTTATATGGGCTTCACCCTCTGCCATGCACCTTAATGTTGTCGCTCTCTGCATTCGCTAATGGAACCTTTCTTTTTCTTACGTATATTTTACCATCTTTACTCTGACTTACGTAATAGAAAGGATGTTGTATTCCTCTTGCGTCATTTAATATAATAGACTCTCGCTCTGATTTTGACAAGCTCATTTTACATCGGTTAAAGTTTTAATTTTGTTTTTTATCTGCAGTCAAATGACTCAGACAAGCCCTACGGACAAGACCCAAGGGGTCATAGATGTTGAAGCATTGAAGAAAGAAATTCGTGAGCAAATTTTATCCGAACTGAAGGAACAAAAACAAGAACAAAAGCCAGAGAGACCAAAGAGAAAACTTAGTGAAAAACAACTTGCTGCATTAGCTGCTGGAAGACAAAAGAACCCACGTTTGCTGGCGAAAAAGCTAGAGAAGAAGCTGAAGCAAAAGCTAAAGAAGCTGAAGCAAAGAAAGAGTAAATGGTTTATTTTTATCCGAATTAAATGTATAGACAAATACCTTTATCTGTTGCGTTCAGTAGTGAAAACCCTGACGTCAAAATAAAGGGGAACAGAGTAACGTTTAAGTTTCCAACAGACTGGATTGTGAACATAAATGAAGAGAAGTACATTGGCATAACATCTATGTATATAACACGTGCTTTCAGAAAGGTTGACTTTATACTTCAAGTCGAGATAGAAAATGACGAACAGTCTTTAAGCGCCCAAAACATTCACATATACAAATACTTTAAAGACGATACAACATTGTTGCAATGTATGATTTCATTTAATGAATGTTCGAGAAAAAGTTCAACATTGAAGTACAAACTTTACAGCCTTTACGTGAGTTTCTTGCACAACTGAAAGAAGAAGGTAGTCAGCCACAACTTATAGACTTTCATTATGAATTTAATGAAAATGAAGATGGAACTCATGACTGTCATTCATTGTATTCTCACCATTCAATGAAGTCGCTAAAGAGAAAGAAAATCCATTACGTATAAGATTTCAAATCTCTGAACCAAGTGATGATTTCAAGAATGTTTTCAATTATGATGCAATGCTTCCGAGGAAAAATGAATTTTCAAAGATTGTAACACCTGGCATTTGGGATAGAAAGCAAGCTATATTATATTCAAACTTAAGTAAGGGAGTTGAAAATGAGTTCATTGGTCATACAAGAACTTCACCACTTCCTAACCCTAAATACTATAAATTAACTGGCTTCAATCGTGAGTTTTGGATAGACATGTTCTCCACTCATGACCATAACTGCCCAGTGTTCTTACCTCCAGACCATAAGGACTGTCTCTACATTGAAGCACAACTCTTAAACTCTACCATCGCAGTATTGTAAATGACCACATGGGCTTCCCTTGCCGCTAGCGGCTTATTTTTATCACGAATGACCTCATTGCTGACAAAAATAAATGACCTCAGAACTTCAACTTACGAATAAAGCTTGTTTTAGTCGTTATTGAGAAGTTAAACTTTTCAGCAAAGCAAGGACTAGAAGACTTACATAAGTCAAATCCAATCTCTTGACCATCATGAAGTGCTTTGTAAAGTTTCATTAAACTGAACTCAGAGTCTTTGTCATATGTTCCAACAGGTATGTGAATGTT